GGCGCTCGGATCATGGTATGGGGTGGGAAAAATAATGGTATTTCAGAGGTAATAATGGTATCCGCCGATAAAATAGGGTTCTTGGAGAAAATTAAAAAGTTTTGTATCATAAACTTTTTTTAATAATACAAATTAACACAAATATTAGTACAATCGTAACTCTCAATCGAGACTTCCTCGAATAATTTTTTAATAATATAAATATTAAATAATCTCAAGTCTCAATCTGGACTTCTTTGAATAGAGTATTACCTCCGTCATCTTGAACATTTTTTAATAATATAAATATTGAATAATCTCAAGTCTCAATTTAGACATCCTCGAACATCACATCCGCTCCGTCATCTTCTTCGTCTTGCTCTGCCATACTTTTGGATTTCTTTGGCTTATCGTGGAGTGAGTCTTTGGTCATCCTCGACATCTCTTTGGTAGGTCTGAAAGCAACAAAGCCACCGCTAACCACGACATGCTAGATAGTAAACAGAGTACCTCGAACGGTGGATACGATGAGGCGATTTCTCAATTTCGTCTTTATGAGGTTGACTTTGGAGAACACTCTTTCGCTGTCGGCATTTCAATGGGGAAGCGATAACACATTGAGAACGCAGCGACTCAAATTCTGAAACAAATGGACATCGCCATCGTTCTTCAGGGCCAACAGTTTCGCCCAGAATACATCAGTGTCCAGTCCCTTCATCTCGTTGTCAAGAAGGTAGCAGCAAAGCCGGCGCCACTCGTCATCAATGTCCTGGTAATTCTCTTTGGCATAAACTCTGGAGAGCGTGACTAGAAGAGGAATGAGAGAAGGCGTTTTCTCTCGTTCAGTGCTTGACAGCGCGTATTTGGGCTTGAAAATTCTCAGGTTCTCCAAAAAACTATTCTCAAATCATATCGCTTTCGTACCTCAAGACAGGCAGAGATCAAAAAGGCCTGAAATTTCTCTCGAAAATGTTTCAGTAGATCCGGGCGCTCCTGGATCTTCATGCTCTGCTGCTCTTGTAGTACCTGTGCCCCCAGATACATCTCTTCAATTGGAAGATAATGGGATTTATCCTCAGAAACCATAAAGGAGGATCTTATACAGATCAACCATGGCCTCATGAAGATCTGTGATTACAACTTTGGCAGACTGAAAATATCTGTTGAGTTCAGTGAATTTGGGAAGAACCCACTGTAGGAAGAACAAGAACAGTTTATTGAACGGATCATTCAAACTTTCGTGAATGGACTCTGCCGCCTTCAACTTGAGTGCTTACCACTGATCATTGAAAAACAATAGCAGAGCAGGCCATTGTTCGAGAATTCTGTCTACCACTGATACTAACGACAACCAACGTGTCTGGGATGGATGCAAGAGTTTGTGGATTTCAACGTTCGTAAATATCTGGAATTCCACGTACTCACTTTGCTTCTTACAACTGCTATTGAAAAATTGTAGATATTGCGAGCTAAGCCTTCACAACTACGTGGTAATTGTTTACAAGCTTCGCTTGCACAAATATGCAGCGAGTGGCAAATGCACTTTAGGATCGTAATGTGTGGATAACCTCGCTTCAAACGACTAGCAACGGACTTATGCACACCCATCATAACGCTGCAACCATCAGATCCAAAGCCTACGACATTTTTCATTGGAACTCCTCGCTCTGTGAAGCTTTTGATGATGTTGCTGTACAAGTGTTCTGCTGTTGCACTTGTTATCTTCCCAGGTTCCAAAACCTGTATCAAGTCCCAAAATTTCCATACAACCTTGCCTTCTTCTTCATCAAAATATCTCACAAGCAGACAACTTGTTTTAGTAACCGAAATGTCTGTGGATTCGTCTGTCATAATGCTGAATTTAGTGTTCTTCAGCTTCTCCGCAAGTATGCGCCTTTCCGTCTTGCCAATGACATTTTTGATAATTGCCGTTCCCTTGGTTCGTTTCACAGCCATTTTTTGAGCAATTCTGGAATCCGGGAAACATTCTTTCAGCAGGTCTGACAGGTGATCCAATGCGTTGTAGCCAATTTTGTGATCGGCACAGAATACAGCAATTTTTATTTCCGCAGTGTCTAAGGGGTCTCCAGTGCCGTTTTCACGTTGAAGAAACTGAGTCATTTTTATGTTTGTGTTCTTCAGTGGTCTTTCCCTCTCTTTGTGTTTATCTGTTTTGGCATGTGTCTTCAATACAGATATATCAGCAGTGTATTCCTGAGAACACAATTTACATCTGGCTTTGAGAGGATTAGCAGGAACACGCTGTAGCCAAGACTTGAACTCATTCATCTGCAGCCAATCATCTCGAAACTTCTGGGCGACTTTAGGTTTACTCCCTTGTTTGACTCTCGATTTCTTTTTTGGTGGTGTTCGACATGCATTATCTTTGTCTTCCATATTACCTGAAGCAAGTTTTTCGGTCAGTACTGCTGGAAATTCTAACCTTATATTGAAACCGTAAGTGCAGCTCAATGTCATTCATCGATATTTACCTGTGGTATTTACAGCAAGATTGTGATCAAAATACGCAAACTTTTTTACAAATAGTTGTGATTCTCGTGGAGGAATTTCAAAAGGGAGTGCCGGCACCTATCAAGCAGTTCTTGTGACGAGTTATGGAGGACACACCGCTAGTGAATATTAGCTGTTGTGGCAAGAAAACGAATTGTAACGAATTTTATGCAATTTTTGTCTCGCTGTACATGATTCGTCGGATNCAGCTCAATGTCATTCATCGATATTTACCTGTGGTATTTACAGCAAGATTGTGATCAAAATACGCAAACTTTTTTACAAATAGTTGTGATTCTCGTGGAGGAATTTCAAAAGGGAGTGCCGGCACCTATCAAGCAGTTCTTGTGACGAGTTATGGAGGACACACCGCTAGTGAATATTAGCTGTTGTGGCAAGAAAACGAATTGTAACGAATTTTATGCAATTTTTGTCTCGCTGTACATGATTCGTCGGATATTCCATCGGACAAATTCCATTTTATCGACTGATGGTCCTTCCGAGAGTCGCTGGCGCTCTTGGTGTTCCTGAATAGTGTCCGCTTTACCATTCTTAAACCTCAAATTTTTCATGAAATTCGATGTACCAACAATTCAAACGAAGATCGATTATCACTTCTACCAACAAGGTTTGAGTGTCAAACGGCATCAATGACAAGCGATAAGTTAAAACTCGTACTGGACAGAGACGGATGTTTTTTTTAAACCAACTTTTTTTATTGTCATTGGAGATTCATTGAAAAAATTTCAGCTGCTGATAGAAGCCATATAATCAATGCAATTTTCAGGAAAGAAAAGCATTAAAATATTTAATAAAGTTATCCGAAGATAATGAATTTTTAGAACATTCCCTTCATTCCTCGCGTGAAAAATGGTATACCATGATACCACGACGGGCATCATGGTACATGGTATCGGAGCCAGTTTCATGGTATAGATACCATGATAATGGTATGGTTGGCAACGCTGCTGCCGAGTTACTCACGCACCCGATTCACATTTACCGACAATTCGACCGGGACGCCGCCTTTCCCGTGGGGTACCAACTAACATTTTTGGAGTCAGTCAAACCCCCGATCCGGGCCTCTACTCAGGTCTATCCTCTTTGATCTAATTCTCCATCTTCTGATCCGCGCCAAGGACGTTGGTCCTCCTTCTACTAATTTTTTATTTCATCAAGAATTTTTTTAAAATCCTCATTCGATTTGAAACTATTTCTCTTATAGAAATCTGATTGTGCATTATTTTCGTTTATTCGACATTGCTGACTTGGCTTTCTTTTTCATTTCTTTGTATTTTTCAAAAATTTCTACTTCCCAGTAATCAATTCTCCAATAGCAGTTCAACGAGTTGCATTGCCACTAAAAAAAAACCTTTTTCTACAGAATTTCAAATATTTTATTCTTTTACTAAGACATTAGACGAGATGAAATAATGTTTGAAGGATTAAGATCTAACGCTGAGAGTAGAATCGGAGGATTTCTTCAAAATAGATAGTTATTTCGCAGTAGCAACAATTCCGTAGAAAAAATATTCGGGCCGGGTTTCAGGTGAATACACGTAAAAGGAAAAGACTTTTAGATCATTAGATTCTGCATTCAGTATACAATTGATTATAATATGTTCGATTTTACATTCCTGACAATTCCTATCATATAAAGGAAAGCATAATGGCGTCGGATGCGAACTCGAATTGAAGGTAATCGAATCGAAAATCGAAAGTCGAAGTCGAACTGACAGTTCAGCCACGAACGTATGAAATCGACATAGAGTGTCGTTTCGACTAAATTGCCACCATGGAGAATAGAGGTTCTCCATGATTGCCACATAGCATTATTTACACAGAATTTGTTTTTAATTGTTATTTATACTGAATTAACTATTTTTTCAATTGATTTTTTCAATTGAATGTGCTAATCTTTTTTTAATTGAACGGAATGGATTTTTTTAATTCATCATAATAATTCACGATGAAATTATGCGGCTAACTCATGGAAATGACGTATCCCATTTTTATAGAGCGACAAGTCGGCAACAACGTTTGCCGCCAAAACTTAGCACCTCCCGTCTTCAGTGGTTTTTGTGCTGTTAAAAAATTGCTGTTCGTTGGAAAATTATTTTATGTGACAAAAAGAAATCTGTCTACACATCATGGCAGAGGCTGACAATGAGATCGACTTTTTTACGCTTGCATCGAATGACGATGTCGATTATTTGGAGCCTGGATACAATATCATGTAAGTATTAATTTAATAATAATTTTTCATCATTATTATAAACTATGAAATGTTAATGTGTAGTAAAAATCGACTTTTACAGGCTGAACACGAAAACTCAAATTGAAAAAAAAATTACCTACATAAATGTAACGTTATTTGAATTGTAGGTTATGAAACACATTCAGTCGCTATTTCGATATTTCTATTGTGTTGAAAAAAACGAATATAAAGAGAAAATTTAGAGCAGGATTGGGTAAAACGGACTCTTTTTCATTTAAACTGATGTATTGGCTATTAACGCCATGAAATATCTTTCTCGGGCTATATAATGGTTATCTACAGTAATAAATGCCTTGGTGAATTGTTTAAGAATGTATTGAATTCAATATTAAATAATACCGTTGAAGTATAACTGAAATAAAATTTTCCAACCCCACTTGCAGGTGTACTTAGTCATTAGCGAATTATTTGTATCATTTTTATTTTTGCGTTACTAGGAAGTGCTACTTGCCAGCCTATCAATTCACTAATTGCCAAATATTTCAGTCATCTGTTTATGTTTCTTGGAACATGAAAATTTAAAAAATGAACAATAAAACAATTTCTTACAGGTTCATTTTACCCTACATGTCACTTTTACCCCACGCTTGCCTATATCAAATAAAGCAATAAAAATTAATAAATGTTTTATTTTATAGGCCACTGCTGGGAGTCATTCGAAGAAGAGAGAGTCCAGGACCCACTGATTATTCCTGGAACCAGGGTTGTGTGAAAATGATTTTCACAAATCTTACTGACAGGGTCATCAGGATGATATTTTGGGGAGAGCACGCTGACAGTTTCGTCCAAAATATAACTGGGCAGGTATACATTACTTCTCATACCAATCAATTCATTTTTTTTATTGAAATATGCTCCTATTTTAATTAAATTTCTCAGCTCAAATAATTAAATTTGTCTCAATTATTTTCGTGAGAGGAGAAAGGTATGGAGACATATTTTTTTATGTCTAATTAATGTCGAAAAATTTCTACTGGACAATATCACTTGCACTTTTGTTATTGCACGAAATACTTCAATACAAAAATGTAGTTAAGAAGTTATTGTCGATATCTCACTACTTTTCATGTTTTTCGTAAATTTTCGGGAAACTGTTGATCAGATTAACACAAAAAAAATAGTTTTTAGGTTTTATCGTCATTCAATGACTCATAAAGTTTCATAGCCGAGGGCCTATTTTTGTGCATTTTTACTAAAGTTTTTTGAATTTTCGAAAAAGTTTGGTGAAGACGTAGAAAATTCTTCCACTGCGTCGAAACTTCGTGAGTCATTAAATAATGATAAAACTTAAAAACGATATATTTCTTCGTGTCAATTTTATCAACCGTTTCTCAGAAAATCGGGAGAAACGTGAAAACTGGGGGAATATCTGCAAAAACTCCTTAAGTGGAAAATTATGTCAGACTCTTCTGAAGCTTCTATTGGTCATTTTATTATTATTATTGTTGTTGTTGTTATTGTT